ACTTATAGTAAAAGAACAAGCAGAAAATATTATACATTGTGATTTCTTTCAGGTGATGGATTATGGGTAATTTCTTCAATATACTTTTCATATCTTAGAAAACAAGCAGGGATTAAATTTTTTTTTCAAAAATCACAAAATTTTAAAAACCCGCTTTAAAAAGAAGAGGGCATGACAGTGAGGGGAAGGGGCTGCAGGCTCGCAGGGACTTGCCCACTGGAGGCCATGCTGTTCATACCTGTGGTTATGGATCATGCGAATGTCGTAGAGCCTCACGAAGGGCCCGCTGGCCCCTACTGCCAGGCAGTTGTTGTCCTGGGGGTTGACAGTGAGGCACTTGGCCTCCACCAGCTGGCCACAGTACTCCGTCAGGTCAATCAGCACCTCTGAGTGTTTGCTGTTCTCCCGAAGGTCATACTGGCTGTGAGAGAGGACACAGTTAGGGGATGGGGGGTCGTGTCCATAGGTGGAGGGCAGGGGAGAAGCCAAGGACTCCTGTGTAAGGGAACTGGGAGGGGCTTTGGACCTATTTGTAAATACTAAGAATGTCAAAACCACTCCCATTTCTTGAGTGCCCACTGTGTGCCAGGCACCTGTAGTAGGCTTCTCACACATTCTGTTTTATTCTAACATTACTCCTTAAGGTGGATACTATTGTAGCATTTTTAAAAAACAAATTTCAATATTATTGCTACTAAGTACTATTACTAGTGACTACTAACACTTAGTGAGAAATTGCTTTGTGTCCAGTATTGCCCCTAAGTGTTGTACATGTATTATCTAATTAAATTCTCATACTATCCCTAGGTACCACTAGAACACTGAGGTTCAAAGAAGTTAAATAACTTGCCTGGATGACCCTGCAGATAGTGCAGCGCTGGGAAGACTGCACTTTAACCGCTCTGCTTTGCTCCTTGATTCTAATTCTTAATGCTATTCTTAATCTAGTTTCTCACGGGAAACAAAAGAAGTATGGAGGTGACAGAAAAGAGAATCTGGTGATCTAAGAGCTACGTAGAAATACCCATTGCCAGGACAAGCACGAGTCCCATCTGGTGGTAAAGGTCATGCCACAATGTCCCGCGGGCCCCAGCACACTCCCACTGCCGGGACACAGGCACATTCAGGTACTGGTGAGGGCATCACCCACATGCTCACCCACCTCTGCAATAATCTCTTCATTGTTCACTTTACCTTTCTAAGCCACTCTCATCAGATTGCTCTTCCTAAAATATTTTGTTACATCACTCTCTTGCTCAAAAAATTACAGAGACTCCTCAACACTTTTAGCATGAGTTTACTTTTAGTTCACTTCTGTCAAACTCCTCAGTCTAGTTTTCAAGACATGATTTCACACACCTCTCCAACTTTGTTCCTCAGTTTTCTAAGTGTGGGTCAGTTACACCTACAGACTCTGTGCCTGTATGTGGCATGTCTACCCCTGCCTTCACACACTCTGCTCAGGCTGGGGGTCCACTCTGCTTTTCCTTGCCAACCCAAATCCTCCAAACCCCCTCTCTGGAAAGGCTCAGCTTCTGCTGGGGCGCCCTCCCTGGCTGCACCTGCTCCAAGTACTAGGCCCCCACTGAACGCCCTGGATGTTTAGCCTCTACCTGCTGCCCGGGCACAGTCTGGTCAGTCAAGGTCAGCAAGTGCAACACAGAGCTGGACCTACCACCGACTAAGTGCTTCCTGTCTTCTAAGTACGACGCTAAAGTTTTACAGGTACTATCTCAATTTTAATGCTCAGGCCAACAAAAGAGACACTATGATAATTCCCATTTTATAGATGAGGAAACTGTGGTCCCGGGGGGTCTACCCGAGTTATAGTTCATGCATAACGTACTTAGATACCCCTCCTCCTTTCTAACAAGGAAGAGGGTGCAAAGTCCCATAGTATCTCAAGGGAGGCAAGTAAGGCAGACTGGGGAGATAAGGAAGAAGTTCTAAGGTCACATCTGAAGAAAGGAGTTAAAGGAGGGCAATGAGACCACTTTAAGATGAAGGGAGGTAGAGGCAGAGGTGTGACAATACAGGCCAATGGAAAGGGGGACAGTAACCATTTCTGGCTGGCTACCCCCCTTCCAGGTATGTGCCCACTGACCAACTGATCAAGGGGGATTTATCAAGTACCTCTATGTGCCAGGCATTGTGCTCAGCTCTAGGGACACAACCAAGGACAAGATAGACACAGACAAGACGGAGAAGACTGGCAAAACTCTGATAGAGTTTACTATTCAGTGAGGGATACAGACAAAAAAGTCAACCAACAAATAAATAAAATGAAAGAACTACAGATGGTGATGAGAGTTATAGAGGATACACTTAGGGTATGGAGACAGAGAATAATGGTGGGGGTCTGCTTTAGGTAGGATGGTCCAAGAAGGTGCATCTGAGGAGGTAACTGTTAAGCTGTTTCCTTAGGGTGACAAAGACTGAGAAAACCAGATAGAAGGAACAGAAGCGTGAAAGCTCAGAGGCAGCAGACTGTGTCTGAGGTGGTGAGAAGGCCAGTGGGCTTGGACGTGGTTCAGGACAGGGTAAGGAGTGGGGAAGGTGAAGAATAGGATAAGTAAAGGTTCCCAGCTGAATCTGTCCACAGACAACCATCCTGGGCAGACAAATGAGGCTGGAACTCTGCTAGAGGGAAGGATCCAGGTCTTTGGAAAGAACTGGTAGGGCAGACGGGATGGGGGCACAGACACGCAGGGGAGCAGGGGAGGCACAGGCCCCACTGGGTGCCTCAGGCCCTTACCGGATGAGCCCATCCTCAGCGGCACTCCAGAACGTGTTGGGCCACATGGGTGCCGTGGCGATGCGTTTCACCCGGTTGGTGTGGTCTCCAAACATGTGGATCGTCTCCTTTACTGTCAGGTCGTGGACATGCACCTTGGAGTCAGCTGCCCCTGTGATCAAGATTCGGTCCCCAGCGTGAGGAAGGAACTGCTCAAAAGAGATTGAAGAAGAGGTCAGCAGGTGGTGGGGGCTGGTCATGAAATGTTAGTAGCTTTTTTCCCTCTTCAAACCGGATAAGAAATGGAGCCCAAGCAAGACAATCCACCAAGGAAACTTAGGATCTCGAGCATCGGCCCACAGGCCTAAAGGTTAAAATCGGGACTACACCTTTACTCTGCCAGAGTGGTCCTGACCTATGGAACCCTCTTCCTCTGATTCTTCCCAGGTAAGAGCTAAAAGGATAATAATCAGAGCTGTTACCATTTACTAATTATTTACCATGTGCTAGATATCCTGCAGGTAATTTACTGATACTTAGAATAACCCCATTAAGAACTGAAGTTCAGCAGGACTATGTTCAAACTCAAGTCTGTCTGACTCCCATATGCCTCCCATAAATTATGACTATTTAATAACCTAAGGGTTAAGTAATAAATTAATCTTAAAATGAAAAGGATTTTCACTGTTTTAAGGGAGTGGGTGTTTTAAATTGGAGAACAATCCACCAAAAGGTAACAAAGATAAAAACAATTTCTATCTCTCAACCCAAAACTTTTACTTCTGAGAAATAATTCTAAAAGAAGAAAGGGACCAGTGTAGAAATGCTTCGAGTAGCACTCCTTACAAGGGCAAGGGCTGGAAATGGCTCAAATGTCAGACCTTGGGCAAGGGCTGAGCATCAGGAGAATACACCTTTATGCAGCTATTATACAGAATGAGAACCCAATCATTCTGATGAACTTGAGGACAAAATACTTTAGATCACATATGAAAAGGGTAAATAGCCACAAACATAACTGACTCACAGCTATGAAAGTATACAGTTCTTTCACCAAGCGCTGAGGAAGAGAAATATCTGGGATGTCAGGTGAGTTCTTCTCTTCTTGAGTTCAAAAGATTGATTATCTTTTTTTTGAATTAATTAAAGAGTTTCCTACAACCCACACACAGCAAGGCCAAATGGTGCTGGAGGGGTAGGGGGCATTATTTTGCATTTAAATAGCTGAAATCCCCCTTTACTTAAAAGTTCATGCAAGAGCAACAATTTACTCTTTCCACATACGCTTCTCTAATGGCTCACCAGGATGAGGGCGAGGTTAAACAGACGGAATTTAACAATTTTTAGGGACAATGAGTAGTCTTTAATCCCATTTTGAGACAACAACAAAGATGAACAGGAGAGCCTTTAGGAAGAGTTTGTGGCTGCTGCCATACGTGTCCCACACTCCTGCCACCAGGGGGAGATCGTGGGTTAAACAAACATATCTGTGGTGGTTTATTACCAGGAGAGAGAGGAACACTTTCCCACACTTTTTTTTTAAATAAAAGAGGAGGCTGAGGGTCTATGAATGCAAGTGCCTTATCCAAGGTCTTAATATTAGGGAGTATTGGAAATTTTAGACTCTGAACTCAACCTTTTTTGCTCTACAATGCCAAACTGATGGCTTCGGTAGGTCCCTTCCCCAGATCTGACCCCACAGGTTTAAACTGGATCTAACACTTTTCAGGGGTAGAAAGCAATCTCTGTTCACCACGCAAGAGGTGAATCAGCATTATTCTGTCTCTCCAATCACAGAAATTCATCTTGGATCGGTCCCTGGAGCAGAAGATAAGAATCAGAGCTTGGGAAAGAGGAGGGTTTAGGGAAGTAAGTTGAGATTGACTCTTCAATCTATCTTCTTTGTCAGGTACCTAGTAATTCTTCTTGATAGTAACTAGAAAAATATTTCTTACATTAGTGAGGCTTTCCAAAGGATAGTCTCACTCTCACATATATCCATTACAGAATTTCAGAGCTGGGAACAACACTTAAAAGGCCATTTCCTTCACCCTTAAACCTGGCAAATTAAATTCCTACTGAGGAGACTACCCCAGTGCTAAGACATTTACTACATCCTCAGAAGGCCCACTTTACTTTTTTCAAATAGCTCTGAGCAGTAGATAATTCTTTCTTTCATCAGGTCCACGTTTGCTTCTGTAGACTTATAGTCACTAGTCCTAGGTCTGTTCTGTGGGACCAAAAGTGACACGTTCATATCACTTCCACATAACAGGGCTTCAGAGGTCTGAAGACACTTGTAAGTCTCCTCCCTCCCCTTCTTCAGCTCAACTCCCCTCCACTAACAAATCAGTAGACTCATTTCCTACGAAAAGTAGAAAAGCTAAAAGTACCTGTGTCAGGTGCTTTTTTTAATCAATCATCTCATTGAAATGTAATGTCAACTCTGTGGATTGTTACTTCCTTTCTAAATTAAATTATTTCCTCATTTATTCATGAATGTGGGGAATTTTCTTTAGCTACTTCATTTTCACAGACAGGTAAACAGGCTCAGAGAGGTCAGGTGATTTGCCTAGTTCACACAGCTTCCAAGAGGCAGATAAAGGAGTCAAACACAGGTCTGCCTGCTTTTTAAGTTTATGCTCAGAATCATACCTCCCATCACATAAATACAAATTCATCTGGAGCTGGCCTCTTGGCTCTAAAAGAGGAAGTAGAGTGTGGAAAAGAGATGGAGTTTCAGGAATCATCAGCAGATGCTCAGATCACAAAGATGTTTGTGACCCCAAGGGGAACATGGGACACACACATGCAAACATGATCGTGCGCACAGCCCGGTGACACCGTTCACTTTCTCTGTGGCTTAAACTGCTCACCTTGACAGAAAAGATATTTGCAGTGTGTCCTGTGTGCATGGAGAGCAGCTTCTTGTGGTGCAGCGGGTCCCACACAATCGTGTGCTGGTCATCAGAACCAGAGGCCAGCAAGCTGCAAGCAGAGCGAGGGAACAGTTCTGACCTCTCCTCAAGTTCCTGGTCCCCTCTCCCTTCCCCGTGTTGATAAGGACGTAGGCCACACAGAATTTGGAGAACGGCAGATGTCACAGAATGTAAGGTTATTGTGTAAACGCTGATTGATTTTCTTCTATTTTGTCCTGAGAAATTTTCCATTGTTCCTTAAATGTATTAGCTTATCAAAAACCAAACCAAACAAAACAGGGTTTGGATGGTCATCCAACCTTCCTTATACTTGGGATTCACTGTTTAACTCTGTACTGATAATGATGAACTAAACTTCAGTATATAGTAGAGAGCAGCAGTCTCTCCTCATTTGGGTCCCCTTTTTTCCTTAGATCTACAAAGTTAGGAAAGTGCCCTTCTTCCAGCCTCCCCACACCCTTCTTCAGCGCCCCTCCAGGTGCTGGAGCTCATACTTACTCTCCTTTCTCATTCCACTCCAGACAGTTGACACATCCTGAGTGACCCTGGGGGAGCAAATGGAGAGAGACAAGGAGAGAGACAGTTAGAGGTTCTCCTGGAGAACTCAACACCAAGAAGGCGAACTGAACAGGTACAGCAGCCTTTCCATCATCAATCTTTTCCAGGTGTATGTGAGTGACCAGAAGTGAATTAAACTGCCTGGCACCTTACAATATATAAAGTATGTTCATATTCATGATCTCACGTGGTACTGAACACCCCTGAGCCTTAAAGGGCAGATTTCATTGATCTTACTTTGCAGAAAAGTAAACTTAAGTTCAGATAACAGTAGTGGAAGTGATATCCAAACAAATCACTGCTCCTATCACTAGAGGGGACATGTCAACAGTCCATTTGAGGGACATCCCCTTGGCCACAGAAAATTTGCTCAGAGGCGCCTCTGACTGAAGGCAGTCAATCATCTAGAAGGCAGATCTTTCATTCATTTGGCACATATTTAATTAACCAGCACTACTGCATGCCTGTTCAGATGCTGGGGGTACAGCAGGTTACAAAACAAAGTCCTCGATCTTCTGGAGATTACTTCGAGTAGATGGAACCCAGTGTAGTAAGGGAAACTGGGCCAGAGTCTTGAGAATGGGGATCTGAACTGAGAAACATGGAGGAGTGAGGCAGTTAACAACAGATGCCTAAGTTGAAAGCATGCACAGAGAGTAATCACAGCAAAGCTACAATTACAAAGAAACAGAATCCATAAAGAGCAGAAGGTATAAAGTAGCAGAAATGAGTCTTACATGGGTGGAGGAGAGAACAAGTCTCTTCCATTTCTACATACTGTTCTTTCTGCTCCCCCACCATCCCTCATTCCTAAAGGCACCTTGATTTTCATTTCATTATCTGCCTGCCCCAGATCAGACCATATGTTTCAGGAAGTGTAAGTCCATGGTCCTTCCCACAGTGATAGGTTCGTGAACTCTGGCCTAAGCCAAACTGACACAGCATTCACTCGGGTACAGGGATTGGCTCAGAAATGAGCCTGTGACCCCAACCAGATGCAAGGGGGACAGGTGCTGGGAGTGTGTGGAAAAGGAGCTTTCACATTCTCAGGACAGAGTCTATAAGAGAGAGATGCCTTTTTTTCTCTGGATGCTGGGTGTCCTACTGTGACTCTTAGAATTGTCACCATGAGGGAAGCCAGCCTGAGAGTGAAATAAACATGGACAGGAAAGCCCAGCCAAGGGAATCACAGAAAAATGGGGCCAGACTGACCAGAGTAACTGACGCTGATGCCCGTTCCACTCCTGGACTTTCAGTTCAGAAGCCTGTCTATTCATTGTTGTTTAAGGTCACTTGAGTTGGGTTGTTACTTGTGGTCCAAAGCATCCTGATTAACTCATTCTTCAGGTCTCAGTTTACAGGCATTTCCCTCAAGAAGCCTTTCCTGTCCTGTAAACTTGGGAGGGAGGCACGCCCTTCCTGTGGGCTCGTACTGTCACACTGTATTAGGGCTCTGTGTCGACATGGTTCCTTGCTTCACCAGACTGAGAAAGCGGGCTTTATGTACTGTGTTCATTGTATCCCCAAGGCCAGGTGCAGTGCCTGGCACGTACCTGCTGCATAATGAACAAATCAGTCCAGTGGGACTAGTGGGAAGAATCAAGAAATACAAACAAATCTAATTCCCCGACTCTCTAGTCAGAAGAGGCTTTTCTTTTGCCTTCTCCTTCCCTCTTACCCTATAAAGATTCTCATTTGGGTTGAACCTCATTTCTTTCCAGGTTCTGCACTTAAATACAGTAACTGACACATTCACTCTGCTCAAACTTGCAAGACCACTTGCTGACCTGAGGTCTCTCACTTTCTCACGGCACTTGGTTGAAGCCCCACATATGGCTCTCATCACTTTCTGGATCAGAGTCATTTCTGTCCTCACCCTTCTTATTTTCCCACCAGGCTTTAAATTACTTGTGCCCGGAGGTCACATCTTCAGCTTGCAGTTTCCCAGAGTATTGAGGGCCTTGAATGACTGCCACTTACTGAGGGCTTACAAAGAACTAGGCACAGTACCTAGCGCTTGCAATAGGCAGAACAGATGTCACGTCCTGCTCCTCTGGAACCCATGAGTATGTTGTGGTAGGTGGCAAAAGGGACTTTGCCGACATGATTAAGGTTAAAATCCTTGAGGTGGGGAGAGAATCCTGGATTACCCAGGTGAGCCCAATATAATCATACATGTCCTGAAAACCAGAGAACCTTTCCTGGCTGCAGAGAATAGAGAGATGTAGATTTGAAAGGGACTTGACCTGCTGTTGCTAGTTTTGAAGACAGAAGAAGGGGGTCATGAGCCAAGAAATGCAGCAGTCTCCAGAAACTGGGAAATGCAAGGAAATGGACTCACTCTACAGCCTCCAGAAAGAACACAGCCCTGTCAAGACTTTAGCCTGGTGAGACCCATGTCAGACTTCTGATCTACAGAACTGTAAGATTATAAATTTGTGTTGTTTTAAGCCACTAAGTTTGTGGTAATTTGTTGTGGCAGCAATAGGAAACTAATACAGCATTCTGCGTCCATTATGTTGTTTAAGAAAACAGGTATCATTACTCATTTCACGAATAAGAAAAACAGTGCTCGGAGAGGTTATGTAATCTGTTGCTATATTGTGATATAGCACATTTTTATATTTATATATAAGAAATATATATTTAGTCTTCATTCTCATTTCTGGCACAGACCTCCTAAAACCCTTGGAATTTTCTAAGTAATAAGAGTGGTAAAGGTGTCGTGATACTCATAACAAACTTCTTTCAACTACATCTGAGTTTATGTTAATGAGATGATTTCTAGAAAGTACCTAAGGATGGAGGCTGGTGGCTGGGGAACCAAACATGGTTGGAAGGTTAGAACTTTCAGTCCCACTTCTCTGACCTCCAGGGAAGGCTTAATCAATCACCAATGTACAATAACTTAATCACCCATGTTGATGTAATGGAAAACCCAAAAGCACACGGTTTGGACAGCTTCTGGGTTGGTAGACATGTGGAAATTTGGGGAGACTGGTATGCTTGGAGAGGGCACACAAGATCTGCACCCCTTCCCACATAATTTGCCCTATGCATTTCTTCCATCTGGCTGTTCCTGAGTTATATCCTTCTATAATAAATTGGCAATTTAGTAAGTAAAAAATGTTTCTTTGAGTTCTGTGAGCCAC